GTTGTCCCTCTCTTTCCCCAATTCAACTCCTCGCTTTCTCATCTTCTGTTTAGCTTCTGCTTCTAAGGTTTAGGAAATCACAAGTCAACATTCAACATTTGGTCTTGGTTCTTCACCTATGGCACCACCTCAATTTGCCACTTTTAATTGCTTTTGCTTTACTCTCGCTCATCGTTTATAGAGTTTACCACTATCTTTGTCCACGATCATGGTGATGCTCTCTATATATGTCATCCCTACTATGTAGGCATTAATTTATGTGATAATTGTATGTATAGTTCACAAAACCTTTTGGTAAGAATATATGGTCAAAATTAGATGTGTAAAAAACTTTTTCTATCCTTTTAGATCATTTTTAATTCCTCTTAAAAAATTGAATGCAAAGATATCTGCGTGGTTTCCATGAATGTGGTAATGAACAAGTCCAAAGTTTGTGGAAGGCAAGCATAAGTTTATGAAATTACTGTTTGAACCCTAAAAGGGAAGAGAGATAAAACGTTGAGCGGGGTCAGTAGTTTTAGTGCATGGGGTGAAAACCAACTAGCACTAGTGGGTTGGTTCGTATTCTTTTTCGGTATATTTGGATTGAGAAAAAGAGAGGAGAAGGATTGTATCTTTTTATTTCTCTCCCCCTTCCTCTTTTATTTGGATAAATAAATAAATTTAAAGAAAAAAAATAATGCAAAGTATTTTCTTCTCTCCTTCCCTTTCCACTCCAATTTATTTGAGGCCAAAACCTTATGTTAAGCCCCTAAACTCACTCTAAATTCTTGATTAATCCCATAGGCTTTTATTAAAGCGATATAAATCTCTACAATTGTCAATTTGAGCAATTTAACCATTTTTCTTATGATAAACTTAATGCTCATTTGTGTTTGACTTAACACTCACTTGTACCTTACTTCTATGGACAAGGTTAATATCCATCACGTAGGTAATAACATGTCAAAATCTTATCCATGCAAATGATGCGCAAACGTGTATTAAGTGTGTTGTAAAGAAAATGTGTTAAATTACCTAAATCACAACGATCAAGGGCTTTTTTGTTTTAATAAAAGTTTAAAATTTTAATTAAAAATTTAAGGTAAGTTTAGGAGCTTAACTTAGCGTTGTACCTTTATTCGGTTATCAAATAAAGGAAAATCTTCTTCTCCTCTCCCATCTATTCCGTTCCACCTAAATATAAAGTTAAGATTAAAATACCCCTGTTTTTAAGAAGGCAAAACCATAAGTTAAGCCTCTAAATTAACCACAAAATCACTATTAAGCCTCTAGACTTTAATTGATGCAGTTAAGTCCTTAAACTTTGGGATCAAAGCAATTTAACCCTTCTTAAGCAATTTATTTTAAAAATTAAAGTCTAGGGGCTTAATAGCGTAAGAAGAGCTTAAGTGCTTTTATCCCAGAGCTCAAGGGCTTAACTGCATCAATTAAAGTCTAGGGGCTTAATAGTGATTCTGGGGTTAGTTCAGGCGTTAGTTCAGGGGCTTAACTTATGTTTTTGCCATTAAAATACCCCAGCTTTTTAGAACTTTCAACGAGAAATAGTATGGATACCGGGAAAGGAATCCAACTTTTAAAAGTTTATTATTTAAAATTTTAAATTTATTCGCTTTTAATCAGGAATCTTAATTTTTGTTTACTTTTTAAAGAATTTTTAAATTTTATTATTTAAAAATTTATTAGATGAAATGTTAACATGGGGTTTTTCAGAGCACTTGCAATGGTGAGATTCTTTAAGAATCTAAACAAACATTATCTCAATTTTACATATATTATTTTATTCAACTTACACGTTAATATACTATTTGAGATTCTCCACACTAATGCTGATACTCCTCTAGTATTTTTGAGGCCATTCATTCGAGCATCTCACAACTTGTCCAATTTTTTTGCCGCTTAATTCAATTTTTAGTCTATTAATTATAAGCTTAATTTTATTTTAATCTAAAAAATTTATTTTTTTTAAATGATTTATAAACTTTAAAAATATTTCAAAATAGTCTAACAGTATAAAATTTTGTCAGATTTAATAGAAATA